TCTATATATGGATTTGGTATTGGGTACCCAGTAGCTCTCTTGGTCTTGAATCTCAAAGCCTTCAGTTCCGGGAAATTTCTTATATCATTTTTTGCAAATGTCCTTCTTTTTTATTTTGTTCCTGTTTCTGAAATTCCTATTAGTTGACTGCTGGCCATTTTGGATTGATGGCTTTAATTTTCTTAACTTTTTAAAAATAGTTACCTTCTTGAAAATATTAATTAATTAATATCAATTGCTATTAAACTTTTTGATATCTGCTATCATATTTCTAGTCTTCAGGGGCTCTTATCTTTTGCATATTCCTTTTTAAAAAAGTAACATTCTATTTTAGTTTCATGTCTTTAAAGTTTCTAACATCTCTTTGAGGCATCAGTGAAAAACCTGTAAAATCTTTTGCTTAACACATTTTCCTTGTTTTTTATGTGTTCGTTTTCTTTTTATTTTCATAATTACTGTCTGTTACTGGCTATTGTATTGGAGGCTTCCCCGACTGTCTGGTGATCCTGGACTACCTATTCATTTTAAGAGGGAAACAATAGAATGATTATTGGAAGCTTCTTGTGCCTGGGCAAGGATTGTTGAAGGAAGACTTTATTGTAGGTGACTGAGCCATGAGCCAGTGTCTCATTGGTTCAATGTTGCTACAGAGTAAATCTCAATTTTCTATCAGGGAAAAGAGGGAACAACAGCCTGGTGATTTAGGACTGGGGAAAGAACCTGTGAGGCCCACAGCTCCTTGCACACTTTTTAAACCATTCCCCATATTCAGTTCTGATATTTATCCCAGCTTTCAGAGTTATCTGCTGCCTCCAATTCCTTAGCTTTTCCACGATCCTATGGATAAAGCAGCTTGTTTCTTGTTGGCTGTTCCTTTTGTCAGTCTATAGATTTCATTTTTCACTACTTTTTCTACTTGTACAAAGTCAGGTGGAAATATCCTCTTTCCATCTTCTACATGTTATCAGCATCTCCTGTTTGTTATTGTCCCTGTCACATAACTTTTGTCTTTGCGGATTGGCACTTTTTTGTTCTGTTTTTGCCATTTTGGGGGAGATCTGAAAAAATAGTGTTAAATCCTCCATGTTCAACCAAGGATTGTGTGAAAAGAAAAGAAGAGGAGTTATTCACTGACAAGAATTTGAAGGTAACTACCAGTTCATGAGAGATCAATCACGTTAAAGCAAAATCAAGGGACATTTGAGAGAGATGTAATTGCAATGAGGTGAATGTGGTACTAGCTGCTGTCTCACTGCTCCCAACTAAAAGGATTAT